TAAATGCATGCTGCAGGCACAGGTGCAGTGTGCACCAAATGCATGCTGCGCACGCACACATACACAGTGCGTGCCAAATGAGCGCTTCGTGTGGAAAAAGGACACTTTCTAAAGTAAGTAGAACAGCAAGGGGGGGGACAGCTGTGCCGCGCGATTTAGATTTTCTAGAAAGCAGGATTTCTGCTGCAGCCCTTGTTACGTGTCCAAATGTGTTCTCCTCTTCCAGAGCAAAGGCAAGTAGAAATAGGAGAGATTATTGGGGGAGAGGAGTATTAAATTAGTGACTGGTGATTGCTCAGAGGCTCAATGGCAGCCATTTTGAGATGGAATCTCTTGCTAGAGTAGAGACAGAGTGACAAGGGGGTTGGGGTAGTCTAGCTTGGAGTTGCTCCATTGGAGGAAATGATAGAGGGCAGGCTCTTGAATACTTTATCTGCCTATAATATAACCTTAGAGAAGGCAGTCTAAAGAGATTCTTATAAATACTGTAGGTGAACTACATTAAACTACTTTGCCCTACTTACAAAGTAGTTCTGGTTCCTTGCACCTGACAATTTTATGAGCTTGTCCACAATAAGTATGAAAATTCTTACTATGCCCACTCGGCCAAAACAGTGGACAATCTTGATCTTATTCTGTGAGGAAGGAAAGGCCCAGTGACTGATTTCTTTTTACAAGGTGCAGCTTTATGTTGCAATAGGCAGAAGGAATACCCTTGAGGAACAGGAGAAAGAGTTGCAACCAAGACAATGGGTCAGATAAAAGAAAACAGAGTCTGAGGCAGAACTGTAATTTGAGAAAGCATCTGGGACAAGACTCTCCTTAATTTTCATGAAGGTAAAGGAAAGGAGAGGGGAAGCACATTCAGATTTGCAATATTCTGTTACTATAACTTTATACTAAAAGTAGTATTAGCATCTATTACTTTGGTTTCCTAATCTCATCTACCTTTCAGGGCTGCCATATTCTAACTTTCATTGCCGGAAAGGTTGCATTCTAGAAAACTCAAGTTCAAAATTAAACCCAGAAGATTTTTAACAAGTGTCAGTACGATTACCAAAGCTGCTATTGTTTCAAGGGGGGAAAACCCATAGAAAATAGTCCAGGGGGAAATACAAATGAACTTTACTCTCCAGCTTTCCAGTCTGAATCCAAATCACATGTCTCTTTCTGAATGGAGCCAAAGATTAGGGGATTTTGCTTTGATTTCAAGAGCAACTGTGTCTCAAAGGGATGGGCATGGGCTCCTTAGTGCATTTTGCACTCTCCAGTTGGTTGACCCGAGGATGCTCTCAGCTGGCTTTCATTGCTTCAGATAAGCAGGTGTAAAGCTGATCGCTGGTTTGTTTTCAAAGAGCTTTATAGGGATTGGGAAATGGAAATGGAATTGGTCTAAAAGGGCCCCAAATTTTTATTTATGATCCTTCCAAAGCTATAGTTATTTCCCAGATATTAAGTATCATGAAACCCTGTCTTTCCTGATACAGCTATTTGCTTGATAGCAAAACAGGAATCTGGATTTAGAGCATCTAATCACATCACAGTGTTGCAAATCTAAAAGTTAACCTCAAGCATAAAATTCAGAACCAACATGGATAGCAAAACAGAGCTAGATGCCATAAAACATGCTAGTCTGTATGGTGCTTGATGCTCTGTGAGCTTTTTTTCCCCTTGCAGTTGTTTCATTACCCAACTAGGTAACATAGTCCGTTCTAGAAGTGAGTTGGATTTACTGTCCATTATTGTTTACTGTTTGTTTCTGAGTTGGTAGTTCTTTGATTGGGGGATTGTTTCCTACTTGATTGTTCATCTATTAATCTTGGTGTTAATCTCAATTTATCTGGGTTGCCGATTGCTGGCAAGGTGGTATGATCCATTGGCTTTTTTAGATGTTTGTATATCTTTTGAATGCTAGCAGAATATGCACAAAAATGGTATCTGAGATCATTTTGGAAGCACTTTTGGAAGAGTTTATGATAGGTTTTAAAAGATTCATCCACCAATATGATCAACAGCACTGAAGTCTAATAAGATTTTCAGGGTCCTGCAACCTTTTCTCATCCTCTTCCCTAGCAAATTCATTGACTGGCTTCAGATATTACACAGACCCCTAAAACTTTATGTTTGGCTAGATTATAATGCAAGTCCTTTCCCAGCAGTCTGTAAACTATGGCTTAGCAAAATGTATGTTGTACAATGTCAATTGTAGCTTACTCAACTAACTATGGCTAACAAATGACTATGTTCACTTCTGGGTGAGTCCAGCCATCAGGTGTTTGCCGAAATAGAAATAAAGAGCTGCTTAGTTCTAAAGTCCCAATTCTCTCGTTACCTGGAGAGACCGACCTTTTTTGTATACAGCAGTTCTCTTAGAATTCCTATTCTTATCATTAAATAAATTCAAATAATGCTGCTCAAAAAGTAGAACTTCAGACTCCCGAGTTGGCCACATTGATAGAAAGCTCAGGAAAGCGTGGAAGAAGTGCAGTACTCTGTCAGGACAGACATTTATAGTTCCTCTCCCGCCTCTTGGAAAATCCAAACCAAATTAGGCAGATAAACTTTTAGAGAAGGTGGGGGCCTTTTGTAAAATGAGAGGTTCCGACTGACTGATGCCAAGTAAAACAATATGGTAAAGTACATGCCCGGAAAGGCAAAGCGGATTAGGTCATATCTTATCCAAAAGTTGATAAACTGGTCACTTACATCCTCAATAAATTCCTTGTAAATCTTTAAAATTGGCATTTCCTTGTTTCTAACATGTATTCTCAAATAGTGTACGATTATCTTTTGACAGTCATTTTATTTAGGCGGCTTAATAGTCATTCAAGCTGCAGGCTCATGTCCACTTCCCTAGGAGTAAGCTCAACTGAACGCTATGGGAGTTTAGGTTCTGCTAAACAAACGTTAGTTTTTAACTTGGCATTTCTCCCCACCCACCAGCCCTTGCATACTCCTGTACTATTATTCACTCTTCTCCACAGATACTCCTACTCATAGTAGCTAGAGAAAAAGATTGCTTTCTGGCTGCTTTCTTCCATAAGCAAACACACAACTCACCCTGAGCTGTTTCGCAGCAAAGCTTTTATAGCCAATTTCCCCATGGGGAGAGGACTTAAAGAGAAGGGAAGAAAGCAGCACAGGTGCCGGCAATTTTCTGAGTAGCCTGCTCTCTCACACGACGACGCCATTTTTGCCAAGACTAAAAATTGTGGGAAGGCCACAGATTCCCTGCTGGTGATATAATAGTAGTAGAGGTTTGTATGGTTCAAGGTCACTTTCAGATAAGGATGAAGATGATTTGCAACTCCTTCCTAGGAAGAGAATCGGAATTCATTCTAGACCAGCCAAACCACATCACACTGGCCTTTTTTAAATTGATGGGTTTATGGTTAGTCATATGAATGTCAGTGTGAAATAAAACAAATCCTTTCAAGTCCTTTCTGTCATCCCTCGGTTCCTTCTTATTTTCTTTTCACCCTAGAGCTGTATCTACAAAATCAGGGGGAATCCTTATTGGGTATGGGCGTCTCAGAACTATTGCTTTCCACAGCAACAACAGATTGTAAATTGTTGCCCAGCAATTCAGTAATTAGTCTTATTCTCCCATCCCCAAGACCACTGCAAGACCAACTCTTGGGAGGGTGGAGGCAGGAAAGCAAAACTCAGACGATTTCCCAAACTTGAAAACTTTTTAAGATGTGTGGCTTCAGTTCTCAGAAATTATCATGGCTGGCTGGGGAATTCTGTGAATTGAAGTTCACACGTTTTTAAAATCCCCAATTTAGGAAATCCTGCTCCAAATCTTCTGATCATGGCTCCCTCTACACGGCTGCTCTATTTCCTCACATGAAATGCTCCATTGCTTGTAATCCACATCTGTTTGTCCCTTCTTCATGATGCCCTTTGGTAGTGGTCTGGCTAGGCCAGCAGAACATGGGAAAGAAAGGCAGGAAGAAAAATGGCACAGCGATTCTTGTCTAGTGTGTGTTGATCATTCTCATATAAATATTCCTGCTAGGCTGTTGCTTTTTCTTCTTTTTTTGTCTCTATTTCCTCTGATTCCTTATAATTAATAAATCCATATATGATTCCTTCAGGTTGGTTACGTAGCTTCTCTCACAATGACATATGCCATGATATGTTGGTTTATTACAGTTTTTCAGAAGCATAAGAGCCCTGAATCCCAATGTATAGTTTACCTACCTCACCTCTGACTGCAAGCTGATTGGCAGATCTCCTGCCTAAGGATGGCTGAGAAATTTCTATGGCTTCTGTCTTTCTCCCTGTAACACAGTCTAGTTCTTATGCAAGGAGAACAAACCAGTGACAATTGGTGACAAATGGACTGTGTACCATGGAGTCTGTTTCCATTGCCATGGAGATATCAGCCAAGCATGATTGGGCAACCAGAAAACTTCAGTAGGAAAGGGGGTACAACAGACACAGGTGCTAAGATATCAACATGGTAGGATTTGCTAATTAGATGCAACTGGTTAATTGACAGCAGGCATGTTAAAAGATTTCTCCCCCTGCAAATCCCATGTGAAGAAGAGAGGCATAAGAAATAGCAGTAGTATTCATTTATAATTTTTAGCACTCTTAGGTAGTCAGTTAAAGACTACTACTTTCAGCAATTCTATAGATAAATCTGAAGTTTAGCTGTAGTTTATTTTGTCTTTTATTCATGCTTGAATGAATATTTTATATTCATTATATATTTAGGGATATTCTCTGATGACTAGAAACAAATATTACATTATGGAAGCATTTAGTTGCTGTTCAAATAGCTGGCAGAGTAAATAGATGTTCATATAGGATGCAAATATGTGTTACATGTTGAATAATTTTAGTAATATGGATATGGGGCACCAGAATCTTTGAAATGTTGTTCCATTATACAGGTCCCAGTTGAGTTTCAGCAGCTTCCATACAGTGATTCTAAGATGATATACAGTTGTGGTGATACATAGTTAAACATATTTGTAGTGAAGACACAGTTGCAATAAAATGCTCTTTATTCTATTTTAGGAACTCTAGAAGGCCAGTGAAGATATTTAGCCAAATGATGCTAAGGCTGAGGTTGTTTTTAACACTGATGGGCTAACAATGGAATCTGTAACCAGTGGCAATTCTGAAGAAAGCAAGGTTGATCATGATCATGATCACAGGTGTGCTACTTTTTCACAACTGCAGAAGAGCCCTGTTGCACATGACTGCGACTTACCGAGGAGTCAAATGTGTGAACAAGCTGCTCCCAGAGAATTTTGAATTATCTTTTTGTTTTCTTTAGTCTGGTGAGATTGATTCCTCTCTTCCTTGACCTCTCATAGACACCTTCTTTATCTTCATTGCAACAACAGAATGCAAAACAGGTTTTCTCATTAAGACTTTTCACTTTCTGGAACCAAAATGAGAAAAGAGTGCCATTCTTAATACAATCATCTGGTTCCATCCTGACAACAAACATTGCTCTGCTTTTTCCTCCTGCCATGTCTCCGCAGTCACCCCTTCCCCCAATTCTCTTCTCTTCTCATTAGTGTGAGAGACCCTGATCCTCTGTTGAAGCATTTAAGCATCTTTCCCACCAAAGCTGTGCTGTGATTGGTCAGACGCTTTCTTCCCATTGCAACTCCTGCCTGCCAGCTCCAACTAACAGCTGGACAAGCAAGAGTTAAGTCTGCAGCTGCTGGCTCCTGCAGCGTGGAGCTCTGTTCAAACTGTTCCCACTGCTGCATGAAGTCAGCTGTCACTGGAGAACAAAAGCAGTCCAGGATCAGTTCAAGTTGTGGCTCTCTGAGGAAGGCCTTGAGACTGTTCCCTGATTAGGATTTCTAAATCAGCCCCATCGAGGTCTGAGAGAATAAAAGCCATAGAACAAAAAGCTGGCTACATTCGTACAAGCCCACTCTCCTTCCTCCTGCTCCTCCTCCCACCTGTTCCCAAGGCCCAAGGAAAACTCCAGATTGCTTAAGAGGTCACCCAAGTCAAAACAAAGCTCTGAGTTGCTTGAATTCTGGTGCTAGGTGTTTCCGTAGTTGGGTTTTCCCTCTTCCATTTCTAAGATTTGTATCCAGCCCTGGAAAAGCTATGCAGATTAGATATCCATTTGTCCAGGATGATATAAGGACTCCTGCCTTGGGCAGGGGTTGGACTAGAAGACCTCCAAGGTCCCTTCCAGCCCTATGATTCTATGACTCCATGATTAATTCAACTATTATGCTGTTCAGTAACTTTAGATTCCAGATGGTATGACTGTACTGTATTAGTAGATTCTTTAGATAGTCATGTGTTTTTATCCTTCCTCAAAATATAAAACATCTTCCTGTAACTCTGTACATTCTACAGAATATAACTCTGAGCTATTGTTTTTGATGGTACATTTACACCGCATCTCATGTGTGATTGTCACAAATTCAACCTTGCACTGTAATCTGCAATCCAATGGAGTCAGGTAACCCATTCAAAGTTGCAAACGCAGTTTCCACAAGAACTCCTTTTCCCAGCTACCTTCTATCATGTTGTGCAATCTTCAAAGGTCTTGCCAAAGAACTCAATCCCCATCCATGCTCACTGTGCTGCTGTGAACTGTGAACTGTGCTGCTGATGGAGTGAACGGTGCTGCTGATGGAGACATAAATGTAAATATAGTTATGAGCTAAGCTGTTTGCTTTCAGACATTTCATTACCTGACTAGGTCACATCTCAGCTATCCCAGGTAGATAATGAAACACCTGCAAGTGATCAACCAAGCTCAGGGAGCACCAAGGACTCAATTCATGAGTTACAGATATCCTCTTGTATTGAAAAGATAGATATTCTGACAACCTCACCACAGAAGGGATAGAGACTGCAGGGTTTGTATAGAGAAAAATGGCCAAAAGGTTCTTATAAACTGAGGAATGTGGAAAAATAGCTTAGGCAGGATAGATACAGCATCATGCCTCAACTGTGTTATGTAACAATCAATGCCTCAGCAGGTGAATGGAACTTGGATTGGACATAGACCTGTTGAAAGTGCAGGCATTGGCCTTTCTTTACCCCTTGGATTCAAAAGCCTGAATTTGACGGGGATTCAAAGCTCATGATTTTATTGAAGGGCACTGATTAAGATCTCTATGACTCACTGCTAGACTAGTGGATCAGTTCATTAATTCATAATTCATTCATCAATTCTGTCTTTCAGCCTGTCTCAAGGTACCATACTTTATCCTTCCCTTTGCCTTTACCCTCAGTATAAAACCAGGTAAAAGTGGCCAGTCCAGAGTCACTTAAGCAGACCTTTCAAAACAGATTGAAGATCTGAACATAGTCCTTTCTGATGCTAGACAAAGACTATAAACTGTATATTGCAGAGGAGTCAAGCTTTTAGAGATCAATCTGTTACCCCAAACAAGAAAATAAACAATACCAAGCCCCAGGCTTTTCTATGGACAGGTTTTTTGTTAATAACTTTCCATTTCCACATACAGGTGCTCACTTATTTTAATACACAATATATGATAAGTACATAGCCACAACAAAGTCCATTTTGCAAAGCTATTACTACTGAGTCTTCCTATTCAAAAATGATATTTGATGCACATACAACTTTCCTGTAATGTTTGACCAGTATTCTCTCTCCACAACTCAGAATTATTCTAATAGTGAACAAATTTGAAACTTCTTTAAACTTTCAATAACTGTCTAGTCTGCAATTTTTGAAACCATATCTTCTTTACAAATGTCCCAAACATTTCAAATATACACAAATGGACATACACACATACACACACACACACACTTTTACACTGTAGTTTGCTTTCTGGCAAATCATTGCAAAAATTCGCAGGTGGATTTGCATGTCTTTGGTAAGATCTCACCATCAAATTCTCCAAAGCATACTAGTGTAGAGGTAGTCCTCAACTTGGAAACATTCGTTTAGTGACCATTCAAAGTTACAACAGCACTGAAAAAAGTGACTCATGATTGTTTTTCACACAACTGTTGCAGCCTCTCCATGCTCATGTGATCAAAAGTTGGACGCTTGGCAACTGACATATATTTATGACAGTTGCAGAGTCCCAGGGTCAACCTTTTGTGACTTTCTGACAATCAATGTCAATGGGGAAGCCAGATTCAATTAACAACCGTGTTTCTAACTTAACGACTGCAATGATTCACTTAATGACCTTATCAGGAAAGGTTGTAAAATGGGGCAAAACTCATTTAACAACTGTCTTGCTTTGCAATGGAAATTTGAGTCATAAATCTAAGACTACCTGTAATGATATTGGTCAATAAAAATGCTGTTAAATAGCAATTAAAAATCTCAGTGAGAAGAAATGATTTGTCGAGAATATAATAGGTAAGGAGTAACTGTGATCCAATGTGGTGCTTCTCTTTTACATAATTTTGTAGATAGAAAAAAAAAATCCAACATGATTTATTTTATATCCTCCTATTGAAGTAGGACCAGGGGTGGGTTCTACTTACCTTTACTACCGGTTCACAACAGGCCGTGCGTGCTCACTTGCTTCACTTGTGCACCCGCGCACTCTTCTGTGCAAGCGCGGAAGCTTCTGTGCATACGCAGAAGCATTTTGATGATATCAGGGTCAGTGGGCGGAGCCTCCCGCCGGTTTTACTACCGGTTATATAGAACTGGTGCGAACCGGGGGCAACCCACCACTGAGTAGGACTAAATATCAGGGAACTCTTTTGGCAGGGGAATAAAAGACAGGTGAATGGTCAGGAAAGTCTCAACACCAACATCCATCTTGACTTGTGCAACAGAGAGTCATTTCCTAGGAACTCCTTTGGAAAACCCCTATCTGCTGAACTGAACTCCAAGATAAATAAAGTGTTCACAGGCTTTCCTCCTTTAAAACAGGATGACAAGATATCCTGCTGTAAAATGCTTATTTTCCTGAGTGCAAGGAAAATAATTACTCTAATCCATCCCATTTCTCTTCGGAGACTTAAATCCAGGAACAAAGACATCAGTGACATTGAATAAACATCTCTACTTTCACTGTCCTGGACTTTTTCTGCTCTTTAGTTACAACTATTAAGAAGGTTGGGAAGGGACCTTTTTTTCAGAAGACCCTCATGAGGCATTGTCCCCGTCTTTTTTCATCTTAACTGCCAAGCACAATTATGCAAAGGGAGGGAGGGAGGGAGGGAGTGGGAGAGAGAGAGAGAAATTCCTTCAGCCAATCCATGGATCTTATGAATAAACATATGTGGGGTGGAAGATGGAGATTAAAAAAAAAAAACACAGGGAAAAAAAAATGCCAGGACAGCTTTTTCCTCCACCCCAGCAAACACACAAACCACGAATCTTGGGAGATTCGGCCATCATATGACATGGGCAATCAATCAGGAAAAGAGGATTTCAGGCACACCTTGTCCTTCGTGCCATTAAAGGATTTTCACCCCTCGAGAGCACAATGCCAAGAGGGGAGAGGGAAGGAAGATGGGATGGGGTGGGGGAGCCAATCAGCCAGGATCAGCTGTAGGCCGGCTCGTTATGAAACTCCCTGTCCCAGAGGGGGGCATGGAGAGACATATTGGGCCGTGTGGGAAACCCGCAGCCTCAGCTTCTCACATATTGTTCTTTACCTCTTCCAGTGCCCCCCCCCTTCACCAAAGCCATTACTGCCACAAAAGATAACTTTGCCCATTGTGTAGTAGACAGCTGAGAGGATAGAGTTAGTCATACACTGCTAGCTTTTCTCTCTCTCTCTCTCTCTCTCTCGCTCTCGCTCTCTTTCCCCCTTATTCCTCCCTCCCCCTTTTTCATCCTCCTGTAGAGTAAGATGGGGGTCGCAAAGGGAGGGCCCAGTCCCTATGAAGAGAGTGATGCTTATCATACAAAAGAATGCAATCCACTTAGGGCCTCCTTTTTCACTAATCTAGGGCAGTGGGGGGTTAAATATGGTTACATTTTCATTAGACCCTAATAGCAGAAGGGCAGCCCGGATGGTTGCATTGTCATGCAGATGCAGGAGAGGGCCAGAGAAGGCTTCTCTCTGGGTCCAGAGGCTGAAGGGGAGGGGGGAGGCATTGTGGGCAGGGAAATTCCATCAATGGGAAATTCCTGTTTCCTCTGAAAGGAGAAAAGGAGTGGGAATGGTTGAGGTAGACTCGATCAAAATAGGGTGAATGGGAGGAAGACCAAGGCAAAGCATCCATGGAGAATGCCACCTAAACATGGAGAGCCATGATGTACAGGTAGTCCACAACTTGCAACCATTCATTTAGTGACTGTATGAAGTTACAACGACACTAAGAAAAGTGACCTGATCTTTTTTTTTTTTGCACACTTACAACCACTGCAGTGTCCCCATGGTCACGTGATCAAAATTTGGACGCTTGGCAACTGGTTCATATTTATGACGGCTGCAATGCCCCGGGGTCAACGTGATCACCTTTTGTGACCTTCTGACCAGCAAAGTCAATGGGGAAGGCAGATTCACTTAACAATCATGTTGCTAACTTAACAACTGCAGTGATCCACTTAACAACTGTGGCAAAAAAAAAAAAAGATGGGGCAAAAAAACTCACTTAACAATTGTCTCGCTAAGCAACAGAAATTTTGGGGTCAATTGTGATTGAAAGTTGAGGACTACCTGTATGGTCTAACAGCCTGGCCTGTCAGCATCCTGTGCACATGAAGCCAGAAAGACAATGGGGAATATAGAAAACTCATTTATTATCCAAACTTCTATTATTTGATTGCCTGGTTATACAAATCCAACAACTTACTGGAAGAAAGTAGGTAATAACTATCTGGGCAAAATGTATTTCATTTCTATATATCCAATTTTTAAAACATACCAGTTCTAAAGCAATTTAGAAAACTTAATGTAGTTTTGTTAAAACTGGTAATGTAATAACTGTGCCTATACTTTCACTCTGCTGGTATAAACTATACATGTAACATAATAAATAATTATTATAGTATTTGCACCATGAATTTAAAGCAAGCTCTATCTGCCTTTGTCTGCTGGCAAAACTCCAATAAAAATTATAATTGCATTGATGACCGATCTGTAAAACCTTGCAATCATGATATTTGTATAGACATATACATAGAATGTAGAATGTCATGAAAATTGGGTAAGTGACTTTGGGTCAGTCATTCTCTCAGCCCAACTTGGCTCACAGAATTGTTGTTCTGGGGAAAATAGGAGGAGGGAGGAGTATTGGGTATGTTTGCCACCTTGAGTTGCTTATCAACAATAATAAAGATGGGATAAAATTGATTAAATAAATATGAACATTCTAAAGACAGATGCATTTGTTGCACAGTTAAATTCCTTCTGCATCTTCCTTCATCCAGTGGGTTCCTGTTCTTTGAATACAAAAATAGGCCTTTTTCTTTTTAATATGGTGAAGCAGCATAAGAAGTTGCAAATGAATATGCAAAATCAAAGGCAATCAATGAGCAGTGGTCCTATTTGGAGCCATGATTAATGAACTGACCTGGCCTGATAAATGTGTTGTATAGTAATTCTTACATGAAAAATGTATTGTCATACAGCTCTGCAGCATCAGTAAAGCCGAAAGCATGGAGTATGAGTTCACTTGTTGCAGGGTAAATTGGAAATCTGAGTTTCTACTCATAAACTTTAGCCAGTCCAGTACTCCTTGACATTACAATAAGGAAGTCTAGTGCAAAACTACACATTGCATTCTGTACTAAGCATCAACAATTGCTCTAATGTACAGATGGACAACTTTATATTGGTGGGAGGGCACACTTAATAGGGGGTGGGGGGGAATTCACAGAGTGATGCAAGAAACTAAACTTCACATGTGATGCTAGAAACTAAACTTAATAATAAGTTAATAAACTAAACTTAATAATAGAGAGCACTGACCTTTCCACTGCTAAGTTGAAGTGCTTAACACTCTTCAGTCAACAGAAAACTCTACTAGCATGACATTTACTGCCCACATTGTAGGTCCAACTCTGTGTCTCTGAGGTTTTATTCTCACTCACTCTCAGTCAGCTGACTTCCTTCCAATGTAATGGATGACAAACCTCAAGAGAATTTTTTACACATCTTGAAGCTGGTGTAGAGTCTTGGGACAGGAAGGAAATCATGAGCCTTCACAGGTCTGATGGTTTTGCTCAAAAAAAAAAAAAAAAGCATCATTACACATTGTGTTGTAGGCTCTGTCCTTTTTGGATGTGTAGGTGACATCACAATACATGAACAAAAGGGACAGAGCTTGCATTGGAACACTGCTTTCATCAGACTGACTAGTTTGACCCGCAGTGCAGACACTGAGGAAAGGACGAGTTTTATAGCCGAATAGCTGAGAAGGAACCAGGTTTGTCTAAACTAGGAGTTGAGCATGGAATGAAAGCAACATCATAGGGACTTAGAAGAAAAAAATAGATGTTGATTAGGTGCAAGTCAGGCCCTGAGTAGCTTCTGTAAGTAAGCAAAGGGGGAAATATCAGGATTTTTTTGTTTATTTTGTATTTTTTTTGTTTTAATTTGATTTATATGCCGCCCTTCTCCGGAGACTCAGGGCGGCTTACAATGTGTTAAGCAATAGCCTTCATACTTTTGTATATTTATACAAAGTCAGCTTATTGCCCCCACAAACTGGGTCCTCATTTAACCTACCTTAGAAAGGATGGAAGGCTGAGTCAACCTTGAGCCTGGTAAGATTCGAACCTGCAGAAATTGCAGGCAGCTGTGTTAATAACAGGGTGCATTAAACCACTGTACTACCAAGGCTCTTTTTGTTAACCTCATTGTCTATTTTTGGTCTTACATTACAGTTTTTATTCTGCGAGGAATAGATAAAGAATTTGGGGATGTTTAACTATGGGTGGGAGACAGAAAAGCAATCTCCAAATATCAGATGGATACAGAATGGTGCAATCTGTATTGCCCCAGGGGGCAGGAGCAAAACCAAAGCAGTCCAGGCTAGGCATCAGAAGGAATTTCCTGATTGTATGAGATACCAGCCAGAAAACAGGCTGCCACATCATGTGGCAAGTGCTCCTTCATTACAGGTCTTCAAACAGAGGCTATGCATTATTTGTTTATGCTGATAAGAAGTGAGATGACATCCATCTTTTTTTTTTTTTTTTTGGTCTGTGGCTCCCTTTCATCTGTTGAATGTGATGCTAGAAACTAAACAAGAAGAGAAAATATATGTTATTATTCTTATAGATTAAATATGACAGCACTGCATGCACGTTTGACTCTTGGTTAGTTTAATTAGTTTCTGTCTATATCTTTAAGTTGTGTGATGGGTCACTGCCTCAGTCACTTGCTGGGTCATCTTGAATGCCAACCGGTCTCATGAGGATTGGTTTCATTTGTTAACCTTCTCAGATGATAAACAATTCTGCTGCTTAATATACTAAAGCAAGATTTACATAAAACATTCAAGATCAGAGACACAATTTAAACGGTTAGGTTGACTGCTTGCAGGGGTGAGAAACTGGCGGCCCACGGGCCAGATGCATCACAAACAGGCCACGCCCAACCCAACTCCACAAATGGGGAAAATGTTGCAAAACATCATGTGACGGTGACATGACAAGTTTGACATCCGTGGGCTGGCATATATTTTAGATTCCAAAGTGTATCACTCCAGTCTGTTCTCATGATGAAAATGAAGAGCCTCAATTTTGTATATTTATCTTTGATTAATTTATCTCTGATTAATTAATCAGGAGCAAACTTTCTCATATGTTTTGCATTCACAAGCATTTGTGCAATAGAAAATGAACATGTGTTGAATGAATGTGAGCCTTTTTCTTTACCTTGCTTCAACACCTTACTCTTTACCAAATTGGAAGGGAGACAGGGAGGAACCTGTTCAATGAAGGATGTTGTCCTTGTGATCAGAATAAACCTGAGACCCTTTTGCATGTATTTTTCTTTTGCCCGTTCTACATCAGTTTACATGCTGTCAACTATCCCTTAATAAAAACCAGTGATATAAGGGCAATGTAATCTGTTTCCTATTCACAGCTCAGAATTCTACCCCTGCCAATAGATTTGCTAAGTTTCTATTTGCAATGTCCATGAAGAGGCATAAGAATGGAATAGTGATCCTATTTCTGCTTTCTCTGTTGTTTTATAATTGTTTTGCTGTATTTTAATTCAATGTCTTCCTGACCCTGGTTCATATTCATATTTCATTCATATAAATATTCTATTCATATTTACTTTGTTTCTGAGGTTTTCTTTTCTTTTTCATCTTGTTGATTGTTGAATATAGTTCAATGAATTTGAATTTGAATGGAATGCCTCCCTTGTAGCAAGTGATAACAAGCAGTTCTTTAGCCTAGAATGATCCTAGATCCGAGCTGATGCTTTGCTGTTGCTGAGGCTGGCCTCTGACCATGGTTGTTCATGCTTTTTGCATATATTGTATTTTTTAACACTGGTGCTTTTTTTCTTTAGCGTAGTCTCTAAAATGGGCAGGTTATGTGCAATTTTGAATCCTGTAAAATGTAGGGCCTTCTCAATGCCAATTGAGAACTAGACAAATTAATTATCTCCCTCCCTTTAAAAAAGAAAAAGAAAAAAACAAGGAGAGGAAAAGGATTAAGTGCCTCACCTTGAAATGTACTATAGGACTGCGCTTCAGAAGTGTTGGGTGAGGTACTTCTTGGCAATCCTACTGAAGATGTCCTTCTAATGAGTCAGGATCAATTTAAAGAGACAGCAGCATACACAGCTGCATAGGCCTGCAATAAAGTGAGGCCCTGCTAAGTAGGGCCTTCCCATAAGCCACTCCTTCCGTTCTGTGCTCTGATGGTTGAAACACCTGACTAGGTGGCTCAGGGGCTAAGACACTGAGCTTGTCGATCAGAAAGGTCGGCAGTGTGGCGGTTCGAATCCCTAGTACAGGTCTCCTGCGTGAGCAGGGGGTTGGACTTGATGACCTCCAAGGTCCCTTCCAACTCTGTTACTGTTATAATTCTCTGCCTGCTGCCACAGCTACTCTCTCGTGTCCTGGTCAGACCCCTCTCTTCTTATTGTTGGACCGGTGATTCTCAACTTTGGCAACTTTAAGATGTGTGGACTTCAACTCCCAGAATTCCCCAGCCAGCATGAAGATGGAGGGAGGAAGAAGCATGCTGTCATTATGGGCTCTTGGCATTGCATGGGGTGAGGCACTATTCTTAGTAAGCCCAGCAGCTGCAGGTAAAGCATTCCCACCCTCCCCTCTCTTTTGCTGCCAGCCTTGCCTGAAGAAAGGCAGGACAGAATCGGCCTTACAGGAGTGAGGTGAAAGTTCAAGTTGAAAGTAGAGAGAGGGATCCAGCTGACATTGTATATTTGGGATCCAGGCCAGGCTAGAGGATTAGATCATACCAGGGTAAATGCTAACGTTTTTGTGATATAATTCAAAATGAACAAAAATTAAAATACTTGAATGCAATGCAAGTATTAAGCAATAACTTAAAGAATTTGCCAGGACCAATGCAAACCTTTGGAAAGCCAGAGAGGTTATAATGGCTGGTGGTCCATCCTGGATTAAATAAAAATTCCTATTATGAAACCGTGATCAGCCTGCCTCCATGCTGGGAAGGAGGGATTGGATACTAACTGGCTTTTTCAGAACAATATTAATTCAGAAGCAAATCCTGTCCTTTTTTCAATGCCTACCCCCCACCCCCACCCCCACCCCGCCACCTCCCCCAATGGATCTGGCTAATAAAATTACATGGCTGTTCTCCAATTCTATCAAAGCCTCCTCAAAGATCAACCTCACTGAATATAGTGAGACTTATTCAAGGCGAGTAGCTAAAGGATCACATCTTTAGAGCTCATATTTTTTTCAAGTTTCTCTTGAGTTATGTTTTAATGACCGTTCAACAGGCACACACATGTATTTCTGTCCCAGTGGTGGTACACCACTCTAGATGAGAAACAACATTCTGAATAGCAGATAAGTCAAAATAAATTACAGCCATTTTCAGTAATTACAAAAAGTAAAACATTAAAACAAAGCATGGGCTAGAGTATATTTACATGTTAATTGTGGCCTTTGGTAATGTTGGAAGGCTGTGTTCAACGACAATAAAAAAGGGAATTTCCTGACTTGAGAAAATATTAACCCTTGCATTCTGATGGATTCCCCATCTTCTCCCTTTCAAAATGAAGAAAGGTTAGGCTGTTGAGTGCTTGCAAATTCTCCCATTTGCTTTGCATCTTCTTCAGATCCTGAAAGACGGCTGGTCCTGTAATTAATTCCCTTAATTAATTAAGTTTTGTGCAACCTTAGTGGCATCCACTAGAATTAGTCAGGTAAATATTCTTATTCCTAAGGGAAAAAAATATTTAAAAGATAATGCTAATGAGTGATATTTTTTTTTCATGTGATGGTCAAATTATCAACTGTGGCAAGAAAAGAAGCAGAGGGAGAAGCTTGTAGCATGTATCCATGAAGGTCCACTGCAAACCATTTCTAAGTCATAGCTAAATACTATTTCGTCCATTCTTGCCCAACTGGACTGCCCAACTGGACTGCCCACCCAACTCATAGTCATCCTCCACAGCTTCATCCCCTTATTTTTTGGCTCACAAACAAGGCTATGAACTTAAGTCATGCTTCCTTAGCCTTATCACATGCCCTATCTTTGCCCAAAAATAAAACATGTGGACTATTTTGATTGCAATTATACCTAAGATCTATATATTGAAAACAAAGATGTTGAATTTCATGGTGTCATCTAGATTTTAGATTAAGCTTTCTTTTAAGGTGCCTATTTTTGTGTTTGAGAAAAATAGTCACACTGTTTTCATTGAGTGCTGTTTCTTTGTTCTGTTTAAATAATTGTTTTGTTATTGTTGCTCAGCAAAATCATGGCATCCTTTTATACAGCAATATTCCTCCTTCCTCCACCTAACCCCTATTCCTTCCTCTCCCTACCCCTTCAAAAATGGTGTAAAACTGGTCTTCAACAGGAATGTGCAAAGCTTTGATGAACTGACATCATTCCAAGGTATCTAAAAGCTTCCGTTTAGGCTTCTGAAAACAAAAGAGATGCACCACTTAATTTTGTCTTGCTTCCTATTAAATCCCCAACAGCTGGAGAGAGTTCTGTTCATGTGGTGGGCATGCTCAAAAGCGTCTTTCAGTGCTTCCAGGTAACTATTT